TTTTATTCACAAAAGAATCATTGGTTACCATTTATGTAAGCACGCAGACAAAGCCACTCAGGACCCCGGTCGATTTGTTCGCAATTTAGTCGACTTGATGGCCAGAAGAGTTCCAGAATATGGAATGTTGGTCTCTAACAGCTTATTAATCCTTTCAGTTCTTAAGAGTTGTTCAGGAGATCCGCTTGAATGCTTCGAACAAGCCGTGATGGCGCCACTTTTGCAGTTAAAAGGTGAACCTCAAACCTATTTCATTATCATAGATGCCTTAGACGAATGCTCGTCAGACAGTGGAGGGACTTCAGTGGTTCAGTTTATCAGAGAAACGTCCAGTAAGCTGCCAAAATGGATCAAGCTTGTAATGACTTCTCGCAATGACTCAAATGTATTAAAACACTTCAGTCATTTTCGCAAAGTGTATTTGTCTTCCAAAGATGCACGAAACTTACAAGACATCGAAGTCTTTATCACCGCTAAACTATTCGAAGACGCTTCTATTCTCGAAAGATTGAAAGCTATGTTAGGTTCTAGTAGCGGTGAAGAGATTTCTTTCCTGACGAGCAGGTTATTAAGCCAGAGCCAAGGAAATTTTCTTTACGTAAAAGAAATGTTCCATTTTTGGAAAGAAGATAGGAATAATGACTTCGGACATATCCCAAAAACAATTGGTGGGATTTACGAGAGGTACTTGAAAAGGATTTATGGTTCCAGAGAGAAATTCAAGCCCGCTTTAGCTATTCTAGAGATCATGGTGGCTGCATTTGAACCGATGCCGGTTGATGATTTGTATCGAGTTTTAAGAACGCAGGAAAACATCGACTATGAATATGAATTTGTTTACGCGCTTAAAGATCTTTCACATTTTATCAGATATGGCGCAGACAACACCATCACTATTTTCCACCTTTCCTTTACAGAGTGGCTCACTAGCAATGAAAACCTTGGAAACCCATACTATGTAAGTCTGAAACGTGGTCATAGACGCTTAGCGGAATATTATTTAAGTGTTGTAAAAAAGACCCAGAACTCTTCTATGGACATCTACCGTTTAGCTCAACACGTTACTTTTGGAGAGGGTGACGAAAATTTTCTAGAAGAGTTTGGCAATATCAAAGCTTCTTACATAAATGCCTCTATTGACGGCGAGAACAGGACACTTCTCCATCTAGCTGCAGAAAATAGCAATAGAAAAATTCTTGAGTTACTTGTTCCAGCGTTTGATAGCGTTGACTGTGAGGACAACTACGGCTTTACTCCTGGCTTTGTTGCAGCAAAGAGCGGTCTCAAAGAAAACGTTGAATTTCTCATCAACAAGGGAGCTAACATTGAACACCGAACAAAGCCACCACCTTCGCTCTACTCTCTAATGGATAGCTCTGTACTTGCAACTGATCCTATTGAACGAGCCAAAACCACCCTTTGGAACTCCACCATGGTACACGCAGCTGCATCGGGAGGTCATACAGCCGTAATACGAGCTCTTCTGAAAAGGAACGCTTCGTTTCGAGAAGTAAATGGTGTTAACTTGACAGCCATCCAGCTCGCAGCACAAAATGGACATTTAGATGTTGTTCAGCTTTTGTACTATAGTGGGTCAAATGCAGACCATCTTTGTCTTCAATATGCAGCTCACGCCGGCCATACAGACGTTGTTAAATTCCTCATGAAGATCGGTATACTGGACACCTGCATGCCATGTGATGGTATATTTTACTGGCTTGGAAACAAAGTCCGATATCAGGCAGGGCCTAGTTATAACTTCAACGACTCACATGGGTACATTTTGGCAGACGATGATTACAGAATCAAATGCCAAAGTGCACTTCATTTAGCAGTCGCCGAAAAACATACAGAGGTTGTTAAATTACTACTTTCTGTGGAAGATAATACAATCCATTGCAAGGACTTCACAGGCCGAACTCCTCTGCATGAAGCGATAAGACAAAATCATGTGGAAATATCAGAGCTTCTTATAAGAAGTGGTGCAAGAGTTTCTCAAAAATGTATGCGCTTTCAAAATTTATCCTCTGTTTGCAACAACTCAGAGAAGTGTAATCAGCTGAGAACATTTTTAAACAAAAGAGAGCTAGAAGAATACGAAAGGGATCTGTGCCATTGTGGCACCACACCCTTTCTACTTGCAGCAAGATACGGTTATATTGAGGTCGCGTCCCTGCTTTTGCGGTATGGTGCAAAGTGTGACGATAAGGATTGCCAAGGGGCCACGGTTCTTCACATTGCTGCATGTCATGGGCATTACGATTTAATTAGATGGCTCATCTCTCAACGAACTTCTCTTCATCTTAACATGAAAAGTAAAAACCTCTCTACACCGCTTCATAGCAGCGCCATTTGTAAAATCAACCGGGACATCAAACCTCTGTTAGACATGGGTGCGAACATCTATGAAACTGATGAAAACGGAATGACGCCTCTGCATTATACTGTCATAAATGCATATGAAACCGATTCAATTGTATTATTTCGAAGAGTGATCGCGAACGGTTCGTTGTTTACCACAGTTCTGGGGTCAAAGGGTGATATTACGGTGACACGTGATTCTGATGTCATTTATAGGACTTTGCCGTTAAACTTTCAGTGTTCAAAGCTTACAGATATTATAGAATCATCAAATAATTCGTACATAAATGCGATGGATATAAATGGAAGAACAGCCTTGCATCTCGCAGCAAAAAATGGAGAGGAGTGTTGTGTCATACGGCTACTGGAAAAACGCGCAAAAGCAGATTTATATGACCTTCAAGGGAAAACCCCTCTAGACTTTGCTACGGCGTTTTCTACCGAAGTGCGCGAGTGTAGCTGGTGCGACAACATCGATGATTTAGACATAATTCTGGCCGTAAACCAAAGGTATCACGATTCAATAGTTAGGATTCTCCTCTCAAGAGAGGTTAACTTAACCCAGACGTGCGACGAAGAAAAAACACATATATTGCGCCACGCCTTTGAAGTGCACAAGCTAGTAATTGCTTACCTTATACCTTCGAAGGGCTTTAGGCTAAGCTGTAAAGATGCGCAAGGTCGAACACCACTGTTAACTCACCTTCAGAGTGGTGGCAAGTGGCTGGACGTAATCTTGGAACGATTTGATGCACCCATTCACATCGACTGTGGGAAGCCATTTAACACGTCCGAATTCCACCTGCTGGCATTCAGAAAGCCGACAGGCCCGTCAGAAAATCTTCTGGAATACCACACCTGTGATAACTTTACTTTTTCTCGTTATGAAAGCGATAAAGGCCCCTCCCTTAGGATTCCGTGTCATAGACGAGTGTCGTGATGCAGAGGGATACACAGCGTTACATAGAGCTGCTCAAGGTGGCAATCAGCTTGTACTGAAGACATTTCTCTCGTTAGGCGCTGATCCTTCCATTTTGACTTCTAAGGGTAATAGCGCTTCGGAAATCACCATTGTGTGTGCAAGGATAAGCCCGTTCCCATCAAATAATCGTAGACGAATTGGAATCGGCTGATCTTTTGCTTCAAGCTTCGAAACAATTTGATGTTGGATGCAACATATGAAGGTGGCTTGCGAAAGATCCTATTGCAGTTTTCAGATTCCTTTTAGAAAATACATATCAATAGTAGAATTCAAGTTTCTTCCCTTTTTCTTACCACTTGTAATGAAATAAATATACTTGCACCTTACTTTCTCTTTGATTTCCTGTTTACTTTACGGTCATAATTTGCAATTTTTTATGTTTTATTATAAAACCCCATCTCGTGTCAAAACACTAAAGCAATGTCATCACGTCAAAACGTATCCTATTGAGTTTCACTCAGGTTTAACCAGTGAGTTGAGTGGTGGCAGCGATAAGAGTTGAACCCAAGCCTCAGAAGAGATTGGTGCCTAAACCAGTGCCCTAGACCACACGGTCATGATACCTGTCGAAGAGCAAAAGTTAGCAGTACCGCAAAACTAAATTTTTCGATGCACTCACAAAAGAATATAATTCGTTTATTATATTACATGGAGGGCGTTCGAGAAGGCGATGAGACGAATGCTCCATGAATAATGAAATTTCGCATTGAGTTTGTAGACGATGACAATAACTTACTCGAGGAGTATTTGAATCCTTCAGCTTGGCTTTGTTACAGTGACAGTGTTCGAGTAAGAACCTGCAAATTGTCGTCAAATTCGCATTTGAATGAAAGGAAATACAGCTTTCCTATCTCACCGCTGAATGGTTTTTATCAGAAAATAATTGAATCTTGATAAACAACAGCAATCTTAATAACACGGAAATCAAACTCTACACGATGTTCCTTTGAAGTCTTATAATATCAACTTTCAGTTATCTTTAAATATTGTACAATATTAACGCAAAACATCAAGTTATCGTCAGTGAAGAGCCTTGACATGTAATTTCCTTTTAATACAAGAAATCTACTGGAAAGATTCCTCCCAGTGCAGAGCAGCCACACTCTGTTTCACTATCTTCGAGAAACCCTTGCAAAATAGAGAAAAGCACGTTAGAAGCCCGACCCGACAATTTCAAATTTAGCGTCAGGAAATAAGCTTCAGCAGAAGCTTTGGCAATAAATTAAAGAGTTAAAGAGATTTACTCCTTAGTGCGTCTTAGTGATGTCTATAGTTTTAAAAGTTGAAAAGGCTCTGTCTTCATATTCAACCATTGCTGTTAAAACGGTTCAACTGTGCGAGTCGATTCGACTTTTCTGGCGATGAAACACAAATCTAACATGAAGAATGTCATACTTTGACGCAGTGAGGGTTAAGATTCAACATAAAGAACTAAATAAATTTTCTCTAACCACGAACGCGTCATATGGTTAAAATCTGTTTTAAAAAGTCAGAGAGCCAAAAGGAAAAAAAAAAAAAAGGAAAAAAATTTGATGAGAACCAGGCAACAATGGGTAACTATATTAGTAAGCCTAACACACTGACTAACAAGGAAAATTTGTTAATAAGAAAAACAAGATATTAAGTGGGTCCTGTAGAACCTTACAACAGTGCCTCTTCGATGATAAAATTTGTTTTCGTTTTTCTTCCCCACACAAATTTACCCACTTTTCCGATTCTAACTCTCGTGAAAATAACGGCCTACGAACGAAGACAACTATCAAACGTACCACCTCCAAACAAAATAAATGGCCCATCTGGATGAAAAGAAACTGTCTTTTTTTAAATTTTTGAAAGCAAACTAGGATGACCCGAGAACTGTCTAAAGACAACTGTGGGTGGCTGATCAAAAACTTGATAAGGCGATACAAATCGTAAAAAATCTGCAAACATCTGACGTATAAACAGCAACAGATAACTCAGTTCACAGCAGTAAGCTGAGCAGTATTATCAAAGAAACTTACGCTGCTAATTGGTTCGCATTTGTAGTCGGCTCGTCGAGAGTTAAAATACCGCAGTTCAGACAGAATGTTTCTGCTAATCTGATTATCAACGATGCCAGAACCTGTAATAGCAATATATCAGCAGATGAAAAGTAAAGAGAGGGTTTGTAAAAAGAAAAAACGAAATTAAATGAAAATTTTCCAAACAGTCTCTAGTTAAATATACCGTACCAGCAATACACAATCTTTTGTCCTTCAGAAAGTCAAAAGTCACCTCCCATTTGCACTTTTACGATTTATGTTTCGAAGGTCAGGAGAAGGGTAGTAAAAGCATCTCAAAGTGACAAAGAACATCAAAATTTCACTGACTTATGTGGCTTGTCACTACGTCAATTCTCCTATGCAGCTCAATTGATAGTGTGCCAGGCAAATCATTGTAAAAACGATGATACAAACACACGTCAAAAGAAAAAATAATAATTATAATAACAAAACAAAATAAAGAACGAAACAGAAAACAAGGTTCCTATGCTCGCAAGAGTCCAATTTAAGATCTTTAAGGCCCGTTCGAAGGACGAATGCCTCGTGGGGTCTTATCTTAGTGTATGCTTCCCATTCAAACCTTCTGTCCAGCGCTACAACGTCCTCTCATGTCCAGTACTGTGTCTCCTTTAACCATAACCACCTGATAAAACAGCGAAGGGAAAAGATTAAGTTAATTCCGAGGGACGACAGAGCTGAATTATGTCTGCACTCCTCACGTGCTCACTTGTGAATCCTTACCAACAGCATACATCATTAAAAATATTCACCGACCACTAGAAGTTACCTAAAAAATATAACATCTCCGGCAATTTCAATACATTATCCAGCGAAAAAAATAATTAGAATCGACCATCTTATCAGCTTAGGTCCGTAATCTTACACCAGACTCTCTTAAATAATTGAGTAAAACTTTTAAAAAGCCTGAGAGGATAAATACGAATCAGAATCTTCGTAGTCCTCTGATAAAATGGCAAGACTATTTCACATAAAATGATGAAGAGGGGGACTCTTCTTCTTCAAAGAACTTATTTAGCAAGATTATCTAGAGCAGGGTTAAAAGAAAACAAAGCTTTTTACCCTGTAGTTATACGTCCATCGTGCTTTAATCGCTCCACTTCCTTCTACCTCGTCTGCACGAATTTCAATTGTATCGATATCTACAGAAAAACGATTAGAGGAGATCTTTGACCTAATTATAAATTACAGCGACAGCTCTATTGTCGAGTCTGTATTAAAAAAAGTTGTCACCACTGTAACATTTAAACTCTAACAAGCTTTTTCTGTCCTTCAGTCATTTTTTTCTAGTTCGTCCCAATTTTTTTTTAGTGAATGCCTAGTCTTGATTTGCTGTCGCTTGTGTCATTATCTTATTTCAGGAACATTTTTAAGGAGACTGGAACGGGTAAGCAGAAAACGACCTTTTTATCTAAATACTTGGTCCAGCAAAATTACAAAAGAATATTCTCAAAATGACAGACAAGTGATTTAATGTGAGATACGGCCATTACCACATATGATATACGAAATATATCATGTTTGAATGACCTATCGATGAGAAGCCGGAGTTTCAATATTTTTCCCATAAGCGGCTGCCGATGACGTAATAGGGAAAAAGGGGCTGTAAGGCGAAACCCAAACACAGAGCCTGCTCGCAGGCTGAACAGCGACACCATGAGCAAGATTTATTTCTCATATTTTAAAACGTACATTTCCAAACTTCTCAAGCTACAGGTGAGCAAATATCACCTTTTCTTGGTTGATTTCCTGCCCATTTTTTTTGCAAGCACGCGAAAATTTTCCCATCAGTGAAGCAGCTTGGATCGCATAACACAACTTTCCGTGCTCAAGGGGTCAAGTTATTCTGTAACAAAGGACTCGCCAAGTTTTGAATCCTTCTCGCCAATATTATCTCATGTCACTCTGGATTAAAAGATATTTCCCGTTTTTCGTTATAACCGCAAGAATTATTTCATTTGTGCATTTATCATTGTAATATTTTTTTCTCAGTTTGAAGAACGGGCGGATAGAGACGACCTTATGGGAACGCAACGAGAGATATCCTTTTCCAAATGAACATGTAATTTTTCAGCTGTATTGGTGTAATTTGTGATGGCATTGTGAATGTGGCTTAATGGGACAA